CCCACCCCCACCAATACTGTACCCCAGTGTTATACAGAGACAGACCCCATCCTCACCAGTACTGTACCCCAGTGTTATACAGCGACAGACCCGTCCCCACCAGCACTGTACTCCAGTGTTACACAGACAGATCTTTCCCCACCAGTACTGTGCCTATACAAAGACAGACACGTCCCCAACAGTATTGTACCCAGGTGTTATACAGGGACGTACCCATCCCCACCAGCACTATACCCCAGTATTATACAGGGACAGACCCACCCCCACCAATACTGTACCCCAGTGTTATAGAAACAGACCTGTCCCCACCAGCACTGTACCCCAGTGTTCTGAAGAGACAGCAGACCTGTTCCCCCAAGTACTGTATCCCAATGAGATACGGTGACAGATATACATAGATGAAAAGGACTCCTATTCTGCTCTAAACGTGGCTTTTCATTAATGATACACTTTTGTTTCTACTACAAAATGATTTTTGTACGCAAGTCACCTTTGGTGATCACCTACAATACAAATATACAGGATAACAAAAAGATCATTTGCATTTTACTTAGAAATCTAAGGTGATTGACATTGGCTGGTATGAATACAAAATAAAATAACTGATTTCTGGAAAGAGAACATGGAGTGGGAGGAGTGGAGAAGGATAGTGACATCATGGACCCTCCAGCTGGTATCACACAGACACTCGGGACAATCCCGCACCTTCACAACAATCTCACACGGATGGTCACACAGCCCATTCCCACTGTTCCTATCACTGTCTACCATACTCACTATCACGCCAAATTTACACTGACCACAAAACTCACTGCCGCACAAATCTTTCACTGATGGTCGCAGTGACTGTCATTCTCATCGTCTTACTGACCGACATAAACGGCCATTTGAAATCCTCACTGAGGGCAAAGTACGAGGCCACAAGAGGTTTGCATATGAAAGCATCTGATCAATGGTCCTTGCCTACTGACTAGCAGATTTTAAATGCAAATTACTGAACTGATCAGTAGATGTTTTTGTTTGTTTCCAAAATCTGATTATGATGTTTTGCCTTTTACACACATTAAGCAGAGGGGCTGGATCTGGTTAGCACTGTGTGATTACTCTGCAGCACTGGGACAAAATCTTCAGTGCCTCAGCAGCCCAGCCCCCTCCATAACGTCACTCACTAAAGCAAATCAAACAGCTCGCTATCCAGGAAGAGCACGACCATTGCAAATCGAGACTTAGTCTTGCCCTTTCTTTGTGAATGAACAATGTGAGAAATTAAAAAAACTACTCACCCTCAGTAGTTCCTTCTACACCACTCCCATCAAACACTCCCAGGACAGGGACAGCACAGGGTTGGATACAGAGTAAAGCTCCCTCTGCACTGTCCCTGTCAAACAGTCCCAGGACTGGGACTGCACAGGGATAGATACAATGTAAAGCTCCCTCTACCTTGCCAATTAAGGTCTGTGACCAGCCATATTAGATATTGATTAGAAACTGTCAGGAGTGATCTCATATCCAAACTTTCCAATGATTACAGAAACCATCTCAACCTTGGCTGAACACATTTAACCCTGATCCTGAAATCAGAACCTCGAGACAACTGCTGCAGTTGCTGAGGGAGCCAACTCGTACAGAGACCATTCAGCTGCTATTTGCCTGTTTAGAGTACATCAAATGGAAACATCCCAACAATAAACAGGAATCAAATTTAGAAAACTAAGAAAATCTTCCAGTCCAGAGTTATGAAATTAAGCATTTCAAAATTACAATTCTTCTAGAACCTGCCATTATCTTTGACCCCAAAATGGATTTGGCCTCTTGAGGAATTAAGATTAAACAATTCAATTACAATCAAAACCAAACAAGCTGTTGGACTGTTCTTGAATTAGAAACTTTGGGAGTGGATGAAAATGAATTGACAATCTGACAATATCTTGATTGCAGCATGGCACTCCCTGGTTGTGTCTGGTTGAGGGGACCAAGGACTTGAATCTCAAAGCTGGACAGGACAGTAATGGACCCTGTACCTCAACAGTTAACTGGCTCAACCCATCACACAACCAGGCAAACACCTCTTGGAACTGACATCATCAGCAAAACTCTCTACAGGTCACTGCTTAGGGAAGAGAGAGAGAGAGAGAGAGAGAAAAGACTGCCTTTGGTATCTGAATGACCTTCACAGAAGTTTCTTGAACACTGGCATGGCGTCATCTATAGTTTCTTTTTGATGACATTGACTTTGAAAGTAGCAGTCCCTTGATCCATGGTTGATTGTTACAGTAAGACTTCTCTATTATTACTAATGCCAGAGTGTGGTCCCACCCATCCCTCTTCTCTCACTGAAGGAAGTTGATCAATATGGATGCAGATATTGACAAAGGTTCAAGCTGACAGATATTGATCCTAACGTTTTGACCAAGATTGACATTGACAGATGTTGGTAGTGAATGATGCTGATTTAGGCACCAGCCCTGGCTCTTCTGTCTCCAATAAGCACCACGCTGGATTTACAGTTTGTTCTAAGGCCTCAGTGTCTACTCAGACTGGCATCGAAAGCTCATCATACTCATCCACACCATCCTTCTCATCAAAGGTAGGCTGAGCATCATCCGCATCAAGCTGCAGAAAGAGAATACAATCAGTGAGCAGAAAAGGATGCTAAGGTACATCAGCTTCAACTGAATCAATCCAGAACCCCAGTAAGATCCATGAGACCGTATACTTAAGGCCTTGCCAGAGTCTAACTTAATGAATGAAGAGTTGTTTAAACTCAAATTCAGAAGCTGAGCAAAGTAAAGTCTTTCTGTTTGAGACACAGAAGCCAGAGAGTCTCAGGGGGTAAATACAAGTGATAGCCAAATAAATTTACTCTGGCTGTTGCTGTCACAATCAGTAAAACCATCAACAGTATAACTCCTAACACAATCAGACAGTCAAACAAATATTAGGCACAGGGTTCAGTCAGGTTTCATTGCTGGGAAGGTTTTGGAGACTCTGCAATGTGAACACACGCCAGGCTCCACAAACATGTTTGAGATGGAGATCAGCGACCTAACAGGGCGAACCTGATCAACATTTTAACAGACTGCACTGAAGCTGTAAACATTTGTGCCCTAAGTTTATCTTTTTATCAATACATTTTATAGAAATTATTGTCAGAGTTCTGATTTGCTTTGGTCAGGTCCAGCCTTTAAACAAAAAATGCTTATTAAGCCACAAACAACTGCTGGACAAATCAGTACCTTACGTCTTGTCATAAAGCCCACATAAAGCCTAATACATCGCAGCAGATGTAGGCCATTCAGCTCATCTACTCTGTTCCACCATTCAATGAGATTATGACAGTTCTGATAATCTTAACTCCACTTTCCTTACTCTTCCACTCAACTCGATTCCCTGAGTGATCAAAAATATGTCTTTTACAGCCTTGAATATATTTAATGACCGAGCCTCTACAGTAAAGAATTCCATGAATTCCCCACACTCAGAAGAAATTCCTCATCTCTGCCTTAAATGGTTGCTTCTGTATTCAGAGATAATCCTCTCTAGTCCTAGACTCTCCCTTTCTGCATCTACCTTGCCAACAACGTTTCAATCACATTGGCTGTCATTCTTCTAAACTCTAATGAGCACCAGCCCAAGCTACTTAACCTCTGCTTGGAAGTACAAAACATAAATATTGCTAAAACAACACTAAAGTTTTTTGTTTTGTACTCATCAGATCGAGGTGATGACATCTTCTCCTCCAAATACTTTCCACCACTGGCACAGAAACAAAAAGGAGGAGTAGGCTATTTGGCCCTTCAAGTCTGCCCACCATTCAATATGATCATGCAACTCACACCCCTATTCCCATCCTTTGGTTTCTTTAGAACTAAGAACTAATTTACTAAATTTAACGAATTTACTGGAGTTCTTTGAGGATATTACAAGCGCGGTGGACTATGGGGAACCAGTGAATCTGGATTTCCAGACGGCATTCGACAAGGTACTGCGCAAAAGGCTGCTGCATAACACCAAAAATGCACGGCGTTACTGGTAATGTATTAGCATGGATAGAAGACTGGTTAATTAATGGAAAACAAAGCGTGGGGGTAAATGGGTATTTTTCTGGCTGGCAATCAGTGGCTAGTGATGTGCCTCAGGGATCACTTTTGGGACCGTAATTGTTTACTACTTACATAGATGATTTAGAGTTGGGGGCCAAGTGTAGTGTATCAAAGTTTGCAGACGACACTAAGATGAGTGGTAGAGCAAAGTGTGCAGAGGACACTGAAAGTCTGCAGAGGGTGATAGATAGGTTAAGTGAGTGGGCAAGGGTCTGGCAGATGGAGTACAATGTTGGCAAATGTGGGGTCATTCATTTTGGTCCAAGTGACAGCAAAATGGACTATTATTTAAATGGTGAAAAATTGCAGCATGATGCTGTGCAGAGGGACCTAGCTGTCGTTGCGTATGAATCACAAAAAGTTGGTTTGCAGGTACAGCAGGTATTTAAGAAGGCAAATGGAATATTGTCCTTCATTGCTAGAGGGATGGAGTTTAAAAACAGAGAGGTTATGCTGCAGCTGTATAGGTGCTGGTGAGGCCACACCTGGAGTACTGTGTACAGTTTTGGTCTCCTTACTTGAGAAAGGATGTACGGCACTGGAGGGGGTGCAGAGGAGGCTGAGGAGGTTGATTCCAGAGTTGATAGGATTGGTTTATGAGGAGTGATTGAGTAGACTGGGACTGTACTCACTGGAATTTAGCTGAA